ATTCGATGGTTTAGTGGAGCCCCATAGCTCAACTCCGTAAGTCCAAATAGGCCTTATTATAGTCAAGTATATGAGTCTTTTGTAATTAATTGGAAGATCAGAACGTTTGTCTAGTAAGTGCTGAAGTAATCGGAAACTTCTAGCGGTTTCTTGTCGTTTCAGTCTAGTATGAGGATTCCAAGTTAGTTGTTTGTCCAGGTGGAGTCCTAGGTATCGGATTTGCTCAACAGGGATAAGTGGAGTATTGTTAAAGGAAAATGTAGGACAGGAAGTTGTTGGTTTACGACGAAGAGTAAAGGTAATTTGGTGGGATTTATTGGAGTTTATTTTAATTCTCCAGTTTTGACACCATTCTTCAAGATTTATGATGTGTGATTGAAGCATTTGGGATGCAATTGATGGGTCATTATTTACTGATAGGATACATGTGTCATCAGGATATGTGGTGATGACAGTGTTGGGATAGGTCGGAATGTCAGCTGTATAAACTATATAGAGGATAGGACCTAGGGTACTACCTTGAGAAACTCCAGCGAACTGGGAAGTTTTGATTTATTTAAAATTTAGTTGTCTACGATCGGTCTACCCGTCATAAAAATTGAAGTCTATGTTGCATTAATAAAAAGGAACAAGATCCAAAATATACTAGCTAGCTAGCCTCACGAAGTGTTGGCGAAACATGTTTAACAGCAGAAATCGCAACCAAACTTGATGCTGCTAAAATTATGATATATAATATGACATTGTTGGGTTTCTTTCACAAGTAGCCACAACATTTTAAAAATATTAAAGGATCCTGCTTCCCCAAAAAATAAATAAAAATCAACTTGCGTCGTTGCTAAATTCCAAAATTAATTTGAGATATAAAAAAATCATAACCTCTTATAAACTTTTACTTACTAGATGGAAAAGTTTGAATTGCTGTAACTGGAACGAAGTCGAGTTTCTCATGTTTATGGGGGAGTTCGCAATCAAAACCTCATGAGGGTTTGTCCATGTAGGGAGGGGTCTTCACTATTTATTTAATATTGAAATTTTTTTTTTTTTTTACTTATTTTTTCGATCGTATTCTTTCGTAATCAGCCTTTAGAATGTGATTTCAAGCAGCTTATAATAGAATAAAAAATGTTAAGCTGAGAGAAAGCACTAGAGCACGTAGCTCGTTATATTTCTACTAATTAGACACCTTTAGTGCGACACTGCCTTCTAGTTCCTCAACACCGGTGCCATTGTCGGCTATCAAAGCTGCTTTCCCCTTGTTTCGTCTGTTCTGTCTACATTTTTATACAACTGTCTGGTTTAAAATTCTTAGAAATTATATTTCAAATAAATAATCATCTCAATATTTCTATAAGGTAAAACGCGTTTATAATCGCTTCCCCTCTCCCAGGCAGGTTATTTGTCATTTTTAAACTTTTTTTTTCTAGCTGTTGGTTATAGTTATTCAGGTCCAAAACTGAGAGGAATGAGTGGGCCTTGGCCACGCCACTCAGACCTGGAATGGATATACCTTACAATCTTGATCCTCCAGTTTGCCTAAAGTGCCAAGATTATGTTCAGTTAGTTATCTAAGGCAGAAAGTAATTGTAGGTAGTGTTGCAAAGAAGGCAACAAAGTTATGGTCTGTCTATAATAATAATTTGGGGAGTGGGATAGCTCAGTGGTAGGGTACTGAGCATCCAATGCTAAAGGACCCAGGTTCGAATCCCAGCTCATGGCAGAAAGGTTATTTATTCTGTTTAATTAGCCGTGGGGTGACCCTGGGTAGGTAGACCTTCCTAGGGCACACACCCAGCCTCTATAAAGTGGGTACTCTTAATTAAAATAACTAAGGGGAAAAACCTGGCAGTTGAGCGTGATCTTGGTCAAATCACCTTGCACAACCGTAGACCAAGAAATAGTGTTTTCCCTAAATAGTACTGAACACAAAACCCTTCATGGGTACCCGTATAATAATAATAGCTATAATTGATTATAAATATTTTTTCATATAATTTATTTAATAATTAGCTTACCAGTATCAGTATTTTTGTTTTTTAAATAACATCTACTTATATTTTCAATAGAAATAATTTTGTATTTGTTATATATACCAGCTTTATTTTTTTTTTAACCTTCTTAAATAGAATAGCTTTGCTATTTTTTAACATTGAGACATGCTGTACTTAAAGTATCTGAACTTATCATTTTCTAATTATTCCGTGTGAATGAGACCCATATGGAAGACAATTTTAGTTCGCAATGACCGCGAGAGACTCAGGTTGTTCGCTTTTTATTTGAAAGAAACTGCTTACTACGAATTTTCGTTGCCTGCTCTCTGAATCTCGCTTCCTGTACTTCTACCGATATTACCGGTTAAGTTATATGAAAAAAATATTTTAGAGATTAGCTTCACTAATTTCCTTAAAGAGACAAATAGCGGTGACCGGAACTGGGTTCAATTGTGCAAGTTGGGCCATCATAACTTTTGAGGGGGTAAATTTTTACGTGTTTGTGAATTTTTGTGGTGGACGCATTTCGCTGGGTTATGAATTTTCAGATTAATTGACTTGGGGAAAACATGGAACAGACCGCAGCAAGTGTAATTTATATGATAAGAGATTTTCTAATGCTACCATAGCTTTCTCTGTTTTTAAGAAAAGGTTTGCAATAAAGTATCTTGGGAGACGGGAGGGTATATTTTTGCACTATCGACCTTAGGGGAATGTGGACCCCTGGAGACACGGATTGCCAATCTCTGCTCTAGGCTACAAAAACTGCTTATGAGTAGTGTTGCCCAAAATCGGCCTAACTGTCGCAAGACCAAGACCAGGACTGGTAAAAAAAATCGATTTTTTAAATAAAAATTAAGAAAAAATAGTTACTAATACTTGGCAATCTTAGTTGCTATATGTTGATAATTGGTATAACCAATATATATTTGCATTTAACTCCTTTAATTTTTCATTCGGGCTTAGTTAGGTTTCTCCTATCTAAAAAATTACAGTAATATCTGTATAGTAATAAGCTAATAAGTAACTGCGGGGCTATAATACTGTTGCGGGACTCTTGCGCAAGACCAAGACTCATCTAGATCTCGCATTTGGGCAACACTACTTATGAGCTAAATACTAGGAGGCGCGGGCAGTAGAAGCTGATTAATATCTTAATATTAGACATTTTAACTAATAATAATTTAATCTACCATCCGAAAAAGTAAAAACACGTGATTTTACATTACGGTGAAATTACACTGCTACTTCATCGCTTCTTCTTGCCTAGAGGGTTAGGACAATCCTGTAAATTCAGGCATTTCAGTTGCTGGATGGACTATCTATAGGATAGAGGAGGATCTATAAGATAACACCCTCGATAATATATTCTTTTAGGAGGGGTAGGAAGCTATCCAAATATACCACTTCATCATAAATAGAAATAACTGATCATCTAAGGCACACTTGAGGTACTGTCATTTAACATGTTATTATCAGCAAGCCCTCACATCGTCATCAAGGTGTGTGCCATGTAATGATTCACTAATTCAATCAAAGTTCTAAATTTTATTTGTTTTTTTTTCTATCAATGTTCATCAATACCTGCCCCCATCCCCACAAGATTATAAGGTTGACATGTTAAAGTTGCTTGCTTAGCTGTCATAGATGAACGCTGGCTGCTTTTAAGAAAGAAATCTTGTTTTTTAATTATTATTTACAAATTAAGGTTGAGGTAGTAATGTCCGCTTTTGGAAATTGATTTTAATTATAAAACATCTTGAATTAAAATAATTTTGTTTTATTTTATCTTCTATTTTGATTTTCCATTTTTTTCCCATGAGTTCTATTTAAAGAACTCATATGTTCTTATCCAATTTTCGTTTGTTTAAATGTTGATTGACTAATTAAAAATAAATGATATTTCATATATATGTACTAACATTTCGGTTATCGAAGTCTTATTTTATTAAATGTTCGAAATATTGTCATTGTCTTCTAAACATCTTCGGCTTCGTCTTCGAAGGGTGATAGTTGCCCTCCTGATTGTTTCACACCTTTCTTCGATTACGCCTGCAGCGCATTTTTCGTGCATTCCGAGTAGTGTTGCCCAAATACGAGACCGAGACGAGTCTTGGTCTCTCAACAGTCTTGCAGTAACCTATTAGCATATTACTATACATATATTACAGTAATTTTTTAGATAGGAAAAACCTAACTAAGCACGAATAAAAAATTAGAAGAGTTAAATGCAAAGGTATATTAGTTATACCAATTCTTTACAACAGAATACAATACTTTAGTAACTAAAATTGTCAAGTATTAGTTGCTATTTTGCCTTAAGTTTTATTCAAAAAATCTATTTATTTTTTTAGCATTCTTGGTCTTGGTCTTGCACTTTGCAAGACCGATTTTGGGCAACACTAATTCCGAGTGTCTACTTTTAGATTGTAAACTTCATTTTTGAACCAGCTCCATAAAAAATAATCCAGTACTGTGAGGTCTGGAGTTCCGTCATTCTGAAAGTGTATTTGCGTTTTGGGACTTATTGGAACTTTTGAAATCCTCTAATAGTCCTGTAATTCAAATTTTAAAAAATCTAAGTAGTCTCCCGTGAGGCGTTCCTGAATGAAAGTGCCATTCAACGTGTAAGTCTGACTGTAACCTGTTTACAATCTGTTGTAAACAAAATCATAATGCTGACACATGTATGAAAAATTGCTTTTTTGTGACATTTTATTTATTTGTAATTAGCCAATGAAATTTAAACAAATAAAAATCGGATAAAAATATATGAGTTTTTAAAATTATTTTCCTGTGTGCAACCCACTCCTGGAGTTAGGCCCGTTCCTCTCGACTCACATTGTATAAACATATTTTTCTAATTTTTTTTTTTTATTGAAAAATGTTACAATCTGTCTCAGTTTTTTATAAATTAAAACTTTCTTTCTTTTTTTTTTGTGTACTTACAAAAATTAAAGCAGGGTTATGTACATTATATTAACCTTGTTAATTATTTTATTCTTGTAGGTGGAGGTTGGCAACGGGCTGCGAGGCCAGGTGGATTTAATACAGGAAGACCCTTTATTAGGCACAACCATGGAAGAGGTGAAGGTCGTTACCGACCCTACAGAACGAACCCCGTAGAATTAGGAAGGTAAATGTCAGAAAGCATTAATGTTTTGTGTGTGTGTATTAAAATGTATTCTTGTTATATTTATATTTTAAATTGAATTTAATAGATTTTTAATCTATGCCAGTTGAATATTTACCACCCATTTCTGCATATTTCGCTATCCGAGTTTTGTTTATCCCAATGAGAAATGATTTCAAATAATTTTAACTTTTACTTTTATTTAAATAAAAAATAAATATATTTAAAGAATATTTTTTAAAATATTGTATAATACTGATCATCTAAAATAATTCCGTAAGTAATTATATAAAATAAAAATGCCCATTATTTCAACTTAAAAAAAAAGAAATTTGTTGCAGTGCATCATACATTTTTTTTTTTTTTTTAATTTCTTTATTGAGTATTATAACAATCTGTCTGTTGGACATTGGTTATAACATCATACATTAGGTTTGATTTTTAAAAGTACTTAAACTTTAATTTAATATGAAGCATAGCACTTCTGTGCACTGTATTTTTTTTTTTTTTTTTCTAGTCACATCCTTCAGGTTTTGTGCCATTTTCTCATAATTTATCATATATCTATTTTAGGCCAAAGGTCACCAAAAAAACACGGTTTTTTTATCTCCTGTATGCTTTATTCAACATTACGGCTTCAGGAGCCATTTTCAAGAACCTGCAAAACATGCACCGCGCCATAAAATTTTTAAATTAATCATTGCGATATGATTCGTCCTTATTTCATTCTTTTATTTCAAAGAATGTCGTTTTCCATTTCTCCATTTGCATACGGTATCAAGAAATTGTTCTTCAATAGGGCATTCATACAGTCCTGTATATTTCGGTCTTTGATCAAAATTATGTTTATGTTGATCCCTTGACGAATGATTGAAACATTTATGAGTAATAAAAATAATATTCAATGTGGAAGAGACCGATATATCGGTTTAAAAGGATGACCAGAAAATTGTGGTGACCAAAAAAAAAAAATAAAAAAAATATAGATAAAAAAGAATAAATCAAACTATTAATCTTGCTAAAATAAGGCATGAGGCCGATATATCGGTATTTGCCCAAATTAGGGGAAGGGAAGAGCCAGAAAAAAGAAATTAAATAAAAATTGGTCCAACTCTACCAGCCCAAAATAATCAATAAAAAAAAAATGGCCGATATATCGGCAAATTGGCTTTTAATATCGGCCGATACCAATAATCCGACAAATGGCCGATATGCCGATATTAATATCGGTATCGGCCGATCTCTTATCACTAGTCTCATAAATACGTCCAATTGATATTATATAATATTAACACAATGAAATTCCACAGTTAGGCATTTTCATTTGGTCTGACGAGTATCAAAGTCGGACACTAAACTTCTTGCTTTGATAGACCTCTACAAATTTTGTGTCAGTCCAACGCCCGATTTATAAATAGGAGGGTGTGAAATTTCCACTCTTTTTGAAGGAGTAATGCAAGCATATTTACAGATTAGACATGTATTATTAAACCAAGAATATTTATTACTAATATCTCACTTTATGATGATAATATTTGATGTATTTTCACATTGCAATACAATTTAATCTTTTTTTCTTTTTTTTTTTTGTAGCAGGATGAGAAATAACGGTAATTTCCAAAGCAATGCCTCTTATCCGCCCCATCAGAATAATAATATGTTTGGATACAATGAACCACGAGGAAGAGGTATGGGAATGACAAGACCTATGAGGCACCCTTACCCCAGAAGATAATTTTTTGAAACTACTTAAATTTAAGTCTTTCACTTGACGAAATCGCGTGGGTGGAGTTTGCCTTTTTATTTACTTTCTTTGGTAACTTGTACAAAAGAAAATTATTTTATATATTAACTTTTTATTATTGTATATTATTGATATTTACAAATGTATTATAAAAAAAAATACAACTATTAAATGTGCACTCAGGAATATAATAAACTGTCCCTTGATAGCATTCAAATAAAGAAATATTAAAATTTGTTGAGACTATTAGTTTTAAGTGTTTGATTCTTTCACTTGACGAAATGACGTGGGTGGGGTTTGTCATTTTATTTATTTTCTTTGGTAACTTGTACAAAAGAAAAAGTATTTTATCTTACAACGTTTTATTACTGTATAACGAAGTAATACATAACTAAATGGTTATGAACAGTAGTCCCGTTTATCCGGGCGAGGTTTTAAGAAATATTAAAAACTTTTGTTTTGTTTTTTTGTGGAAATGGTAAGTACGGTAAACGGAAGAAATCTCAACTGATTTCAGAGGTGAAAAACAAATTATTTTTAATTGATGGAGGGGGGGGGGAGAAAGAAGTTTAATATCTTTTTTACAAAAGTGTTTTTTAAAGATAGTTTACTTACATTAGTTAGACAAGAACCCGTCCCATCTGATCCGGATTAGCGGAACTACTGTAAATTACTACTTTTATATTAGTTTATATATTACATAATGTATATATTATGTATAATATAATGTTACGTTTTACGTAATTATGTATAGTATTTTATATTACATATATATATATTATTTTTTGTTCCCCATGTTAAAGTAGACACTTGAATCAATTTCGTTTATTATTAAGTTTTTTGTAATATATTTTGTCTAATAAATGTTTATTTTATTTTGTGTGTGATTGATTCATATAACCTATTACATGATAAGTTTCTAGCTTTACTACACAACAACTCCACTTCTTAGGGAAGGCATTAATAAAACATGGATATATTTCATATTACTTTATTTTTATCAAATTAGTTTTATAAATACGCGTTATTTACTACAAAAGATGTGTTTAATTCATCTTAACCCCTCGAAAAAAGTATTGATAGATTTGATAGGAAAATCCTTCGCACGATAACAGGCGCAATCAGAGTCCTTATAAGGAGGGAAGAAAGGCTATTAAAGAGACTGGTCAATCAATATCTCGTGATACGAAGGTGCAGAGGTTAAGATTGGTAGGGCATGCACCTTAGAGCGATCCATTTGGAAGCCTTTGCACGACAATGAATGCCTCAATAGTAGCTAAAAGACTACGTGCAATGCCAAAAACCAAGATGGATAGATCGAATCAACAAAGATGCTATAGAATTATTGGGTTGTCTGGAAAATAATGCTGGATTTTGATTTAAAAAGAAAAAAAGAAAGATTTACAATTGTTTTTAATCAAAATAGTCTCCAATACTATCAATACATTTCTGCCATCGTGTTAGAAAGTTTTCCATTCCCTCATAATAGAATTTTCCATCTTTAGAATTGATAATTTCCAAAAACGCATTTTCTAATTCCCTTTGTCCATTAACTTTTTTGCCACGTAATTAGTGGTCCAGGTGTCTTAAAAAATTGTAATCCGTAGGCAAGAAGTTCGGAGAGTAGGGCGGGTGCGGCAGGCCGTTATCATGCAACAAAGTGAGCCCCTTCCGATTTACCAAAGATGGCTTCATTATACTGATGTATTTCATTAATTTGGCTACAATACGATTAGGCATTGAACGTTTCTCCAGGATTTAAGAAGCTGTAGTGTATCACATCAAATGCAGCCCGCCAAACCAAACTGCATATTTACAATTTTTCCCTTCACAATTCCTGTTTCTCATCAACTTGGAAAAAAGTTATAGTCCGCCCTTTGAGCGAAGTTCCAGTTCCCTACAAAGCTTCCGATTTTAGACCCATCTTCATTCTTTCCTACCTTTCAAAGCCTCTCGAAAGACTAGTCCGTTCTCAGTCAAATACCTTCCTTGGGCAAAATGCTCTTCTCAATCACCTTCAGTCTGGTTTCTCATCCCAGTTCTCCAACCAATCTGCTTTATTAAAAATCTTCCCAGACCTTCAATTCTCCATAGTTAAACAGAAAATATTTATCCTGGTCCTCTTTGATTTTTCAAAAGCCTTCGATTCTTAATCATAAAATCCTTTTTTCTAAACTTCGAAACCTTTCCATATCAAATAGAGTCCTAAAGTGGTTCCATTCCTTCTTGTATCACAGATCCTAAACAGTCATCATTCCCAATAAAATTCCTTCCTCCCCCCCCCCTCTTACTTGCGTAAGAGCCCTCTTACTAGCCCCCTTGTGATGTCCTGTAGCTCTCTCCAACTCTTTTCTCCATATATATTAACTACCTTCCTAATTCCATCCATCATTCACAATACCACCTTTATGTTGATGACCTTCAAATCTACCTTTCTTTTCATCCTACCGAGATGCTTGAGACGATCCGACGGTTAATGGAAGATATAGATGGTATTACTTGGGCAGCGAGCAATGGTTTAAAGTTGAATGTTGAGAAGACCGAAGCCATTCTCATTGGTTCCAAGCATCTTATCAATTCCATTCCTTATTATCCCCTACTTCACCTCAATGGACTAACTATTCATTTCCATAATACCGTTAGATATCTTGGAATAATTTTCGATCAATGCCTCTCCTGGAACAATCACATTTCCCAAACTATCCGAAAATCTATTGTTATCTTAAAACCTAAGATTCCGTGATCCTTTACCACTAAAAACCCGTCAGCTCCTAGTTTCCTATCTAATTTTTACTTATTTCAACTATGGGTGCCTTTTATAGCTAGATAGGATGCAATAAACTTTTATGGGTCGTCAAAGTCGTTCACTTCTCGAAAAAAGTGACTTATTTGAAGACCGATGGAAACTTTTCCAAACAAAACTAGACCACCGCAAACTTAAAAAAAAAAACAAGTCTGCCGGCCGGAAGTGGATGCATTCTTCCCGCAGACGCGCGTCAAAAACGAACTTTTTTTGCATCAAAACATGACTTATATGGAGATGGTTGGAACTTTTTCTTAACAAAACTAGTCCACTCAGGGACCAGAAACCAGCCTTTTTGGCTTAAAAAATTATAAAATGCTAGGTTGGTTGAAACCTTTTCTAGTCAAAACTAGATAACATTGAGTTCTAAAACAACATAGTCTGCGGACCGGAAATGGTTGGTTGTATTCGTAAAGCGGACGCACTTCAAAAACCAACTTTTTTAATATTAAAACATGACATTTAAAGATGGTTGGAACCTTTACTAAACAAAACTAGTCCACGCAGGGATAAAAAAAACGTAGTCTTCCAACCGGTAGTTGATACGGTCCATCTGCAGACGCGATTCAAGACCAAATTTTTCAGCGACCAACTTTTTTGTTTTTAAATTGGGCTTATTAAAAAACAGTTTGAACCTGTCCTTAATAAAACTAGTATTTGTTAACCGGAAGTGGTCGCTTTTGCCGGTAGACGTAGGTTAGTCAAAAACCACCCGCTTTCCTTCAAAGTTAAATAATTTTATAATGGAAGAAATGTTTTCTAAATAAAACTATTCCACCCAGAGAACAAAAAAAAATTTTAAAACTGGATGTGGTCATATTTAATCGCCATGCAAAAACCAACTTCTTTCGTTCATAAGTTTACTAATTTGATGTTGAATGAAACCTTTTCTAAATAATACTAGCATCTCCATAGACAAAAAAAAAAAAAAAAGAAATCTGACCACCGGAATCGCCCGCATTTCGCTGACAATGGTGGTATGCTTATGGCAGATCTGAGTGAAAAATCCAATTTTGTTTCGAACCTCGACCCATTTGAAGATGGATGAAACCTGATGATAATATTCGCTTACATTGATGAAAAAAACGAAATCCACTTACCGAAAGCGGTCGGGTTCGTTGGCAATCGTAATTCAAAAACCACCGTACTAGTTTCAAAATTTTACTAAAGATAAATGGAACATCAAATGAATGAGTCTATCACATAATAATGGTATAATTTAAATTCTTTATTACGCTTCTATATTATTAGGTATCATATTTCTCACTCATTTTTCTTCCCTGCAAGAATTTCATCTTTAGGCTCCATTGGATCAAATTCCTTCGGAAGTTAAAAATCTAATTTATCAAGGCATACTATAAAACGTAAAAAACAAAAAAGGCGCTTTGCAAGATCAAATTTTGTTATATCGAATTAGTCGAGGAAATTACGAGGCGAAAGGATTCAATTACTTTTAAGTATATGCATTAAGATATTTGAAAAAACCAAGAAAATTATATAATCACAATAAAACACGATGAGACGAAACTACAAAAAGCACAGTAACAAACCTTAAAGAACTGAGACATTTTATGCACTTGAAGGATTACAAAATATTTATCTTTGGACTATTCTAAATAGGCGTACCCAGAAGAGGTTGCAATTTATACCATCAAATGTTTTGAGGGGGCATATTTTGGAGTTCTTATGAATTTTCAGAATGAAGTTTTACACTAACGACAAGGTAAAAACATGGAACAGACCGCAGTAAGTGTAATTGCATATGGTTTACGATTTTTCTAATGCTACCTTCGCTTACACTGTTTTTAAGAAAAGATGAGCAATAAAATATTTTGGGAGTGGGGAAGATAGGTGCGCCATCGATCTTGGAGGGGATAGGCACCCCAGATCCTAAACACAACATAGGATCTCCTGATGGAACAACACACCAGATGAAGCAAGGAATATTCAGAAATTATAAAAAGGATTTACAGGATTTAAATCTGTAAAGAATAAAAATAAAAAACCTATAGTGGGAAGCGATACAAATTTAGGTACACCTCGGGGCTAACAAAAGCTCCAAGAAATTTTTAAAATGTTAATTTTGAACGAAGTATATTTCAATTGAAAACGTTTTTAAATGGCCAAATAATCTGCCTAGAAGGGTCAGTATGAATATAGATTTTTTTTTAAAGGATATGTCCTGTGCAAGCCATTTTTTTTTTTTTTTTTGTTCTTCCCTTCCTCGTCTTTTAGGCTATACGGTGGTTTTCCCTGGCCAGGAGATGAAGGAGAGGTTAATGCCAGAGTTAAAAGACCGCGCCGTATAATTTTGATGTCTGTAACTTGGTTGCAGAACAACGCGCGGTGATGTGCCCACTCTGCCACCCCGCTCCACAAACAAATCATTGTCAAGGAAAATACATTTTTGCATACTTAAGCAAGTAGTGGATGAAATATAATAAAATTGATACTGTACTATTTGTAGCTTAGTCCCCACCTTTCCTTCAAACAAACTACAACTTGGCATTTTTTCAAACCTATGGATTTCA